CGACATCTGTGTGCCTTACAGTATTTGTAGAGCAGAGATCTTGTCTCTGAGAACCTCCTGGGCCTTGTTGAAGTCAGCCAGCATGATCTGCGCCTCTCTGTGGTGGACGATTCTTAGCTCCTCCAGATCTCTGTCATGTCTCTTTCCGAGGTCTTGTTCGTGCGCCCTGCAGCAAACACACACTTTAAGTTAACAGCTAATCTGCACTGGATGCTTATTTATTGGAACGTCACTCTTCACAATGGGATTTCAGTCCACTTTGTGAACCCAATTTCCTCCTATAGTGACCCATTACGCTGACATTTTATTCAGCTATTAAAAAAAGACAAAAGATGTGCAACTGTGAGCTAACATGAACTGGAACAGACAGCAGAGCGTGTAGAGAGCATGTGGTCTCTAAATACACAGGGAAATTGAATCCATGATTACCGTGTCAATGGCAGGGTATTAATTAGTCTGTCTGTAATTCAAGCAAAAAATGTAATAGCCTGTTGCATTTCTAAGTTGCAGACCAGAATTAGTGAAGACACTTTAATAACACGGAGTGCTCTGTCCTGTTTGATTAGTGGACAACCATTACAGTCCTGAAACTCTTTACGACTGTTTCTGCAAACCAACCATTAAGATCTGTGCTTATTAGACCATCTGCTACTTATTACAGCAACCGACATGGCGGCACATAAACTGTCCCTACACTTATTTTACTCATAAAGATCATTTAGCAAGTAATACTGGCTAATGGTTCTGCATATATTTATTTTTCCATCTTTTTTCTGTCCCCAGTTTAATCCTGTTTAAGGTTGCAGTGGAGCTGGTGCCAGTCTAACACAAACACGCATGACTCAAAGTCTCAGAGTTTGATGAAGTCTGTACAGAATCATGATCATTATGACTGCACAATATCATTCAAACTTTTAAAGGGATCCCCGATTAGTTGTCACATTGGACTTTATTTGATAAACAAATTTTATCTGTAAAATAAAGACTGTAAAAATACTGTAGGATGTTCAGTTTTTATCATTTTTAAACTAAAAGTTTAACACTATATTACACGGACGAGGCCATGTTATTTACACACAAAGCATTCTGGGTAAATGATGACGTGGACAGGTCCTTGGTGCGAGGCTGCTAGCGAGCTATATCCACCCTGAAGGTTAATCTTGGACAATATCTGATGATCGACTCTTTTAAATGAAACCAGAGAGCGTTGACAGAGAGGAGAAGGTAGAAATGACTCAGCCTGGAACTGAAAATATAGATGGAGGACAACAGAGCTGCTTCATGGAAGAAGAACCTCAGCTTAGCCTGTTAGCTTTAGCGTTAGCCCTGATGCTATCACCATATACATGAATTAGCTCAGCGCTACACATTCTCCTCTCATCACTGAGGTCTTCCATCTACATGACAGAGAGGGGAACACAAAATGACTCAGTTTAGCTTGTTTGTTTATCGCACTAGCTCTGAGCTAATACATACTGTATAAGGCAATAGGGAATGGGAATGGAATTGGAATGTACGGCACGACGCATTGCATGCTGGGTAACGGCCGCCATGCTGTATGCTAATTAGCTTAAGGAGAACGTACATCACGACGCATCGCATGCTGGGTAGCGGCTACCTTGTTGTACGACAACCAATTTTAAAACAGAAAACACAAAGGACGGAGGCAAAGTGAAGATCAAGATTCGTTACCGCGACAAACTTAACAAAGAAGCGAGGCAGCGCTACCTTGTTAAAATTGATTCAATTGGGCTGGATCCATATGAGCACAGTCAGTGGACTGGTGATTTTGCTGAGCTACCACAACTTACATTTCCCGACATAGTAAGCTACCTTGTGTGTGGTGTAAGTGCTTACACATGTGAGCAGTTCAGGAATTATAAATCGCTGGAAAGTCATCTTCAGTCCACAAATGGATGGGTGCAGGACATGCAGATTTTTAGAGTCAACGACCACAAAACTGTTGTTCTCACGAAGGTAGGTTAACTCCCTGAGCACACAAGCAAAGAAACTACAAAATGTCTTGTCATTTCACTCTTACATGCAAAAACACAACAGTTACTTTCTGGCAGTTAGGGATGTCGACATCCCTGCGGAGTGAATTTCAACATTCTCAGAAATCTGCAGAACTTCCAGCACCTCGGACCCCTGGCCTGCTTCATCGACGGCAGAACTCTGAGCAGCAACACATGTTGCTGTTTCATCCACCTCTGATGTCTGGCTTGGTAGATCTGGTGTGGGGGCTGTTACAGTCTTCTCCACTGCGGCTGCTTGGTGTCTTCTTGTCCGACGGCCAAATCGATCAGCGTCTGTCGCTTTGACTTCTGTGTGCCCAAGGTGTAAAGAAGGCGCCCAGTCAGGATGACAATCAAAGAACTCGTAGGCTGGCTTGCCTGAAAATAAGAAAACATGATCCTTCATGTTGTTTCCAAGCTGGAAAGCTGAAAAAACGCACCCCGTTGGCAATACGTTTTCCTCTCCGGTCTTGAGAACGGCTGTGGCAATTAACAACACAGCAAGCATTCACCATTTCTATTACTTTGCAGTGAACAACAAAACAAACCGTACTTCCAACCCGTCTCTGAAGCTAAGCTAAGCTAACTTCCGTGTCCTAAACTCCCAAAATGCATTGCGCGATCCCTGTCCGTTCCAATTCCATTCCCATGCCCAATATAGCGTCTTCGCTAGCACAAAGGCTAACAGGCTAAGCTGAGGTTCTTCTTCCATGAAGCAGCTCTGTTGTCCTCCATCCA